CCTTTGTAGCCCTGAGCGAAATGGTACTTTTACTTCTCTGATTTGATGTTTTAAACTTTACAATAGATTTTGAAACGATCTCTGAGACAAGCACTGACCTGAGATGGAACATATACATTGAGTCATTTGCTTCTTCCACCGCGAGGAAAGTTGGCTCTCTATACCGCGCCAGGAAATTTTCCTCCCCGGAATCGATACTTCAAATATACAAATCAACCATTCGTCCTTGCATGGAGTATTGCTGCCATATATGGTCTGATGCACCTTCTGTTTACCTCGGAGTTCTTGACAAGATCCAGAGGCGGATATGTAATATAATTGGCCCTAATATGGCGTCTCGTCTACAGTCACTCACTCACAGATGTGCTGTCGCCTCTCTCTGTCTTTTTTACAAATACTTTCATGGTAATTGAGCTTCTTTCACTGGTTCCCAGACTCCATGAATTCAAGCGACCTACGAGGCTGGCATCCCGCTCCCACCCTTTCACTGTAGAAACTTTTAAATGTAGCCGTCTCTTCTACTCCAATAGCTTAATACCTCGCACCTCTCGCCTGTGGAACACCCTTCCCTGTTACTGTTTCCCTGAGAGCTATAATCTCCAATTATTCAAATGTAATGTCAATCGATGTATCCAGTTGCCTTGATCTATCCACTATCCTTCTCCTCATCCTTTCTTCTATCACTCCTATCTGCTCTTGCTCCAAATCTTCTGCAACCCCCTGCATCCTAGTGGCTTCACGCCTTGCTCGGGGCGTAATGCTTAAAAAAAAAGAAAAGAATATCGATACATTTGGTAATAATAAACAAGCGCTGATAACAATCGTGACAATACCGTGTCGGTGGGTTCGTTTTCTGAAATAACCACACCAGGGTAAATAGTTCAAAGGGAAACCAGGTTTAGATTAAGTCTTTTTCGCTTATCTTTAATATATATGGTCCAAAAGTGAACGTTTATCTCGAGTATATAACTCTAGGCATCAATACCAAATTCAAGAATTGCTGTATGCTGGCTATCGACGATGAAGCGTTTGCCGAAAACTACAGCCATAAAATGGCTTTTTCTTGTTACCTTTTATCACTTTCTATTTGTAATAATCCAAGCAAAAATATACAGAAGTTGCGAAGAAACACGTTTGAAGATTGGAAGTTCAGCTGTCGATGGATATTATTCAATTGAATTAGCAAATGGTGTAGCTGTCAATCTTTATTGTAAAGGTAAGTCAGCAGTTAAATTTTTCTTTGTCACATTATTCTTCAAAAATCAGAAAAGGTTGCTCAAGATGATCCCGAGAGAAGAAAAAGAAATATCTTACTTATTATAAAACGCAGATTTTGTGTGTGTGTGTGTGTGTGTGTGTGTGTGTGTGTGTGTGTGTGTGTGTGTGTGTGTGTGTTCGTTCGTTTATATATTTTGATCGGATTTCCTACATTTTTCAACCGATTTCAACAAAACTTCACAGGACTACGTAACATTACCTTGCGGTGGTTCTAACAGCTCCAAAAATTAGAAAAACACAATTGTTTTTACACGAAATCAATTTGAAAACACAATTAAGAGGCATCGCTGTTTCGAGAATGAAAGGGAGACAACTCAACTCATATCGAGTTATACTTATTATAAAACCCAGGTTGTGTGTGTGTGTGTGTGTGTGTGTGTGTGTGTGTGTGTGTGTGTGTGTGTGTGTTTATATATGGGATCGGATTTCCTACATTTTTCAACCGATTTCAACAAAACTTCACATTTTTTGGCAGGCAGTGTTTCTAATTGTATTGCACACTTTTTTCTTTATTTTTACATTCAGAATGTTTTAAAAATTCCATTTACAAGACAATTGTTTATGATAAAATTCTATTCAATCGATAGACACATAACGATTAAAAACAATGTTTTTGTTTGAGTTTGGGTTTGACCAATTCGTAAAAAAAAAAAAAAAAAAAAAACTAATTAAGACATGCGTGTCCCTCAACCTTAAACAATAATCTTTGTCAATTTTATTTTTTAGTCTTTATGATGGTCGATACTTGATCTATCTCTTACTGTTACTGTCCCCGGGCAACGCCGGGCTCTACTGCTAGTTGTATATAAAAGCTTATCTTTGTGTTATTAAAATGAAGAGAAAATCATATAAAAAAATTTTTCTTCTTTTTTTACGCGTTCTGAGAGCCGCTCGATGTGGAGGTTTACCTGAGACACATCTTATGCAAATGTATGGAAGATTACGGTTAATCCTAGACTTGAACAGGTTAAGATTATAGTGATCAGGAAAGCATCCGTGGTGGAAAGCAGTTACTCGATTGGAACATACGTTTCCCCAACGGAATACGAAGAGATTGAACGTGATTCTTTACAATATGCGCGGCATGACGGCTCCTAGCCATAAAGGTTAAAATTAGTGGAAACAAGGAATGCAGTTTTTCTGAAGACTTTCTATGAAAATAGTGATATAGCAGCGAGAGGCTTGCAACGTTTCGCCTGTGAGGAAGGGGTTGTAGGGTAGAAAATGATTTATCAACCACAAGGACGCGGAGACGCTTTTGAAGACTGGAAAACGGAAACTAGGCAGTTCCCGCCCATATATAGCAGTAGTACTTCATTTTTGGTCTAATCTGCTTCTTGGAAAAGTAGAGGGTACCAATAGGAGTCAAAGAACAGTGCAGGGAACCGCCAATTTTCCTGAATTCAATTTATGGAACCCCGTGTATTTACTTGGGCTTTTAGTTGTCTAGAAATTTAACAAAATAGACAATGAAGCTAATTGGAAACGTCTGACAATTCCTTTTAAATCTAGAATATTTTTAAATCTAGAATATTTTTAAATCTAGAATATTTTTAAAGTATGGATATTAAACGAATTATAAAATTTCAATAAAAATATAATTTATTAAAAGATTAAATTTATTCCGTTTTTAGATTAAATACTTTTAAAAAGGAAATTCTTCTTCTATGTGCCGTCTCCCTTCAGGACGTGGGCGATCATGGTTCTCCACTATTTCCTGTCCTTTGTAACGCTAAATAAAGTCTTTACACTATCTCCCCAATACCTATTCTGACAACCATTTACACAATCTTGTTACATAGGTTACATGTTATTTTCCTCTCTTCTTCTTGCCTTCAGTTTCTCTCTTGTGAGTGTCAATTTTTCTGAACCCTCTTTCCTCATTAAATGCCCTAGAGATCTCAACTGTTTCTTATTGATTCTAAATATAAGTTTCCTTTTTGTTTCAATTTTCTCTAAAACGTCGTCGCTGCTCACATGTTCGGGCCATGGTATTCTCAGCATCCTTCTGTAGAGCTTAATTTCTGTTGTCTCAAGACATTTTTTCATCTTTGAAGGTAGTAAAAATACATCCTAGGCTTCAAATGCCCTTCTTCTATGTACTGTGTCCTTTCAAGACTTGGCTGATCATGACTCTCCACAACTTCTTTATAGCTCTTAGTAAATTTTATCATTATGCAATCTCTCCTAATCCCTGCTCAGTCATCCGGTAAGTTATGCGTTGTTTTCTTCTGATCCTCTTGCCTTCAATATATCCCGTGAGTGTTATATTCTCTAAGCTCTCTTTCCTCATTGTATGCCCTAAAAATTTTGAACTGTTTCTGTTAAGTGTAAGTGTACTTTTTGTTACCATTTTCTCTAAAACTTCCTTGTTGCTCAGTCCATGGTATTCTCAGCATCCTTCTGTAGAGTCACATTTCTGTTTCCTCGTGTCTTTTCTTCATCTGTGATGAAATTGTCCAACATTCAGTGCCATGAATTGCTGCACTCTATTCTTTGTTTCTTTGTTTCTAAATACTTTGCTTAGCTTTTAGAAGGCATCTTTCGCTGTCCCAATACGACTTCGGATTTCGGAGCCACATTTTTCGTCCCCCTATTAAAACACTACCAAGATATTTACATTTTTGCATCTGTTTGATTTTGGTGCCTCTAATTTGTAATTCGAATATTCAGTTGTTTCTTTTACCGTTTTTTAATTAATTTTATAAAATTAATAGTTAACTGACATTCTGAGAGTTTTAACTTTGTACCTTTAAAAATAGGTTTTTTTTTTTTAATAATGACATTTTAACTGTATTTTAGTTTCTTAGATTTTGACCTTTTAGTGTCCAGTATTAAAAGGTTTTATAAATTTTATAACGATATTATGATATTCGATTAATTTAATTGTTTTGTTTTCCTTTTTGTTTTTTTGTTGTTTTTTTTTTGTTGTTTTTTTTAATGTTTTAATCTTTAGGCTTTCAAGAAAATTATTTTTTCAGTTTCATGATGATCAAATGAGCCCGTCTACCCGGCGGGACCGGGTATAACTTCCCAAAAATTAATTGTTCAATATTCACTCGAGAAAAAAAAAAAAACATTCTTACAATCCCCACCCCTAACATCGCAAATAAATTCGATTTTTAAAAACCCACAAGTGGTAGATAAACTTTAAAAAATCAATTGATTGTATGAAACGGAAATTAATCAACGTAATATATAACATTGCATTTATTCGCTATTCATTGTCTATACCTTGTTTCAATGTGTACATCTATCTATCTATCTATCTATCTATCTATCTATCTCATTCTATTCACATCTATCTATCTATCTATCTATCTATCTCATTCTATTCATATCTATCTCATTCTATTCACATCTATCTATCTATCTATCTATCTATCTCATTCTATTCATATCTATCTATCTATTATCTATCTATCTATCTATCACATTCTATTCATATCTATCTCATTCTATTCATTCATCTATCTATCTATCTATCTATCTATTCTATTATCTATCTCATTCTATTCACATTCTATTATCTATCTATCTATCTCATTCTATTCATATCTATCATTCAATTCACATCTATCTATCTATCTCATTCTATTCACATCTATCTATCTATCTATCTATCTATCTATCTATCTATCTATCTCATTTTATTCATATCTATCTATCCCAATCTATTCATATCTATTTTTAAAGTACAAATACTTTATTGAATTAAACATTCAGTGAAGAATTTCTTCTTTAAAAACTACGTATGGATAGAATGAGATAGATAGATAGATAGATAGATAGATAGATAGATAGATAGATAGATAGATAGATAGATAGATATCAGTAGAATGAAATAGAGAGAGTGAGTGAGATAAAAGGATATCTAGGTATGAATAGAATGAGAGATAGATAGATAGAAAGAAAGAAATAAAGAAAGAAATAGAATGAGATAGATAGATAGATAGATAGACAGACAGAAAGAAAGAAATAGAATGAGATAGATAGATAGATAGATAGATAGATAGATAGATAGAAAGAAAGAAAGAAAGAAAGAAAGAAAGAAAGAAAGAAAGAAAAAAGAAAGAAATAGAATGAGATAGATAGATAGATAGATAGATAGATAGATAGATAGATAGACAGATAGATAGATAGATAGATAGATAACGTATTTGACATATTGGACGTACCCCCTTTTCAGTAAGGCATATTTAACAAAAAAGTATTTTTAGTGCATTGTTGGATTGTGCGTCAAATGTTAGTAGATTGTTTTTCCATCATTTTTTTCTTCGTAATCAGACGACATTTTCTGTGTTTTTGTAAGCATTGATAAATCCGGCTTCTTCATAAACAGCCAACACTGACCTTCTGATCCTACAAATTTCTAATCTTTCATTCTTCGACTAATCCCTACTAATCTGCTGATCAAATTTATCATCATTTTCGTAGAATTAATTCTACCAAAATTCCTCTGATCTATCGCGCACTATTTCACGCCATCCATAATTTCCCGCCAACGACATGGACATAGAAAGGAAACTACAACAACTCCTACAGAAGATTGTGAAGGAAAGCGAGAAGAAAGGATTAAATACCAACTGCAAAGAGACAGAATGCAAGGTTGTTAGCAAAAGGGATAGCACAAAATGCAAATTACACATTGGGGATGGCAAAATCAAACAGGTACACAAATTTAGATATCTATGAAGTGTTTTAATAGAGGCCGGAATGTGAAATTGAACTGAAGTCGCATTGGGATTGTGAAAGAAAAGCTAAGCAACCTATTAAAAAACAGAAAATATCATTAGAAACAAAGAAAAGAGTCATGAATTGATATGCAATACGAGTCCTCCTATAACTAGACAATTTCCTCAAAGATAAAGAAGAGACTTGAATGTGATTCTACAGAAGGATGCTGAGAATACCTTGGACCGAACATGTGAACAACGACGGAGTTTTAGAGAAAAAAAAAAAATGCTTAACATCAGGGCAAGACATTTGAATTTTTTTGAGCACATAACAAAAAAAGATGGCTTAGAAAATGTGGATACCCACAAGACAGATTGAAAGACATGGACATAGAAAGGAACTGCAAGAACTTCTACAGAAGATTGTGAAGGAAAGCGAGAAGAAAGGACTAAGCACCAACTGCAAGAAGACAGAATGCATGGTTGTTAGCTAAATGGACAGCACAAAATGCAAATTACACATTGGGGATGGCAAAATCAAACAGATATAAAAATTTAGATATCTTGGATTTGTTTTAACAGAAGACGGAATGTGCGGCACGGAAAACCTAAGAGGTATTGGAATAAAGAAAGATGCCTTCCAAAAACTAAGCAAACTATTAAGAAACAAAAAAATATAGTTAGAAACAAAAAAAATAGTGATAAATTGCTATGCAACCAATCCTCCTATATGGCTAGACAATTTCCTCAAAGATGAAGAAGAGACTTGAATATGATTCTACAGAAGGATGCTGAGAATACCTTGGACCGAACATGTGAACAACGACGGAGTTTTAGAGACAAAGGCAATAAAATGTTTACTTGTGCTTAACATCAGGACGAGACAGTTGAAATTTCTTAGGCACGAGGAAAGACGGCTTAGAGAATGTGATACCCACAGGACAGATTGAACGTAAGAGGGTCACTCAACCTAGCTGGTGGGCTTCAGCGAATGGATGACGAAGCAAGGTTTGAGACAGGGGGCAAAAATACCAAATCTGTAAAATGAGAAATTGTGGAGAGCCTTTATCGCCAATGTCCTGAACAAGAAATCATGGACAGCAGTGCAAGAACATTCTACTCTAGCAGATTAAATAAAGGATTCACATCGACAGAAGCCTAATGAAAGCCAGAGAGCATAACGGCTGAAGCGTTTCGATAATAACAACAAAGATGAAGACAATAGTTCTAATCTAAATAAGGTAAATCATAATTCTTCATCCCCAAAATTCAAGCAGTAATATAAATTTGTCTCTTACTAAATATTAGTATTATTGTTGCAGGCCACGTTAGTGTTTATTAGTGTTTGGTGTCATTTATTACAAGTGAATGACCAATAATATTCCATTTAAGTACATATCATTTAGAAATCCGTGGGCAGCAAGTTAACTTGTGACTTAATGAGTTTTGAGAGGATGGAAGATCCTTTATGTATAAGAAATGTCTAGAAAAACTTAAAATCATTTTCAGACTAGACTGATCACTTCTGCTTAGATTTAAATCACGGACCTTTTGTTTTAGTGCCAACTGCTTACAGGAAGGCAACAGAGAGCGATCCCTTAATTATTTTGAATGCATGTTTATTCATAGACTTCTGACGATGGTTTTGCAAACGTGCATTTGTTATTAGAACGAATGGGGATCGAATGGTGCAGGCTTGTTGGTCGGTGGTGAACGCGTTCTAAGTTTTTCTAAACGTTTAATAATGTGCTGATCTTGCAAATAAACTCTTTCATTTCTTTGTCCTTTTGCTAATTCTTCTTCAACAGATAGGCAAATAGCCTATTTGTGGAAGTAATAGACAAACTTATATTACTGCTTGAATTTCTCTGGTCTCTCGCGCACTATTTCATGTCATCCATAACTTCAGGCCAACGTGTAGACATGGAAAGCGAGAAGAAAGGACTAAGCACCATCTGCAAGAAAACAGAATGCAGGGTTGTTAGCTAAAAGGAGAACCCAAAATGTAAATTACACATTGGGGACGGCAAAATCAAACAGGTACAAAAATTATCTGATCTTCCAAATAAACTCTTTCATTTCTTTAAGTGCCCTTTTGCTAATTCTTCTTCTACAAATAGGCAAGACGCCCAACCAAAAAGGCCACCTTCCGGGTAAATACTTACAAAAACTGTCAACATTTTAACCAAGCTGGATCAAGTAAATCCTATTAGAGCAGGGGAAAGCTGCGAGAAAACTACTTGACACATTTGAATACGAGATTGGACTGAAAGGTTCATAGGCTGACTATGAAGGAATAATGCTAGAGCTATAAGATCTTTCATTCTTTCATTTCAACTCATCCTATTAATGCTTGCATTGTTTCTTCCCAGATATACTGACATCTGACTGTTAAAAGAAATTTTCAAAACGTAACCAGTAACAATTTCTGATGAAAATGGACAGAATTTCACCAAGTACCTGCAGAAAAAATTTATATGGCGGTAAGATCGAGGATGTGAGACCGGGCTGAAGACACCCCCGAAAACACCAACGGCAGAATAGGCAAATATCTACACGATCTCGGTAGCCAAACCGGTGGAAGAGAGCAACACCAGTCGGGCTGGCGTAACCAATGCGGACCTTGACAGCCAAAGCATCGGACGGCGTCCAGGTTTGTCAGATCTCGCCTGTCTTTGAGCTGCGAGGGAGGCGCTTCTGGTTAAATGGGTGAGGCTTCTTCGTCGCACAAAGTTATCCACCAAAATTTAAATTCACGCAAGTGGCCTCATCAAACTCTCTTAGATTCACTTCCATCTCCGCCAGGGGGGGGGGAAGGGAATAGGGGGCAAGGGTAGTGATCCCTATGAGAGCGGGTGCCGACAAATACATCGACAACAAGCAATGTAAGTTACGTAAAGACGTTTACATCTAGAAAATGCATATAGTGATTTTCAAAGCGTGGCTTAGATATAGCAGAAGGCCGAAAGTATGGGGCACAAGGCACAGTGGATAAAGGCGTTGGTTAGATCCAGTGACAGACCCAAAGAGTGTGAGTTCAATACCCGGTTAAGGCAGTGGAAAACTTTCAGAGGGAAAATTAGCAGGAGATAACTGATAACTGAAATCCATCAAACATGGCACGTGGAACTAGAACAGTCTACCCCAGTGATCGAAATAAAGGGTTCAGTTCGAAATTCCAACCACCTGAAGAAGGCCGGAGTGGACAACGTCCGAAACGTTGTGATAAATATGGCGACAAAGATGAGGACAATAGTCCGACTAATGTTAGTACTGTGCATTAATTGTTAATCGCATAAAATTGCGTTATGAGAAGTTAGACTTGTCTGGTAATAATAATGTTCGAAAAGTAAAAACATTTGTTTTCTTTTTCTTTTTTTTTCTTTTCCCAACGGCGAGAACTGCGTACACTTTATCCACGAATTGCCGTATCTTTTTTTCTTCTTCTTTCTCCTCTCTTTCTCCTTATTTGCAAGAAGATAATTTCGCTGCTCGATTTACGCGTTCAATCAATTGAGCTTATCAAATCAACGATGCCTTCCAAAACCTTCAAATTCTGAATTATTATCATAGATTGATAACAGCAAAGTCCAAAAACAAATTATTGGGATTGTCCATGATGATAATTGAATCGCTCGGTAACATGAATTTAGCCAAATGATTGCCAAAAAGGTTATCAATTGATAATGGACTTTTGAACAGTCTACGTGACTGATCGCAAGAAAAAAATAACAGATTTTTAAAACGAAAAACAAAGCAAACCAACCTATTATTTTATTGATAAGAAAATTCATCCTATAAATTAACTTTTTTTGCTCCAGTACACGAATCAACAAACGGGTGTTAATTGTATATACGATATTTTATTTAACACGCTGTTGGGAGCCTCCAGTGATCCTTATTTTTATTTGTTTAGTTAAACATTAGACCCATTCTATTTTTTTTTATTTAGTGGTTCTCGTACGATCACCGAAGTTAAGCAATGTCGAGCCTGGTCAGTACCTAGATGTGTCACCGCTTATGGAATATCACTCATAGAATACCGGTTGCTGTAAGATTGGATGTGCGGGCGGTGTAATGGATAAGGGCGTGGAATTGGAAATTGAATAGCCGAGTTCCAATTCCAGTCGGGTTCGTTATATTTGCTTACACGTAAATGCACTTGGGAAAGTTATAAATTCACCTTTTCTCCCCTCAGTTATGGGTTAATTAGTAGGACTTATATCAGTAAATCATTATTATCTAAAAAAAAAACTCTTAAAGTCTAAAAACAATTTTCTGGCTTTTTCTGGAAACGGCTGATAAACCATAAAAAATATCAATCAATTCTTCGATTTACACTCTTATTGGCAAAAAACAATCAATTTTTGTGAAATTGTTTATACCCTTATTCCTGAAGTGATTAGATTTCTAAATGTCGTGGAGAGGCATATCTCGTTTGCGACAGATCAATTCTGTGGTGTCTGATGACTTTCAAAGTTGCAATTATGTGGCACCTGGTAAGGATCAAAAACACTAATAAGGTTCCACAAAATTTCAACTATGTGGCATTTAGTGAGAGTAAAAGTCACTGTTGAGTAATTATAATTAATGAGACAAGCTTTTTAGACATATTTCTGAGCGCCTGCCGTGGAACAGTAGGAAACGAGGTTGTTTGTGTCAAAAGTTCAAGCCTTGTGTCATTAAGCCTTGTTAGACTATTTAAACGTAGATTTTCAACGTTCTTTTTTCTTTTCTTTTCTTTTGTTAAACATTTCTAATAATCAATACCTCACACAGATCCGATTTAAACTAATAACAAAAATCTCTTATAGTAATATTCACCGAATACAAAGCCCCTCAAGTGAGGAGGTTACTGCATGAAGTACTTTTAAGAGCGTACAAGGAGGGAGTAAAAGGTGCATATTGTGAGGATATGTAGGATAGATAACGGTTGACCATAAAGGTTGTTATGATCAGGGAAGCATCCTCTCGGGAGTCTGTTCCACAACGGAACAGTCTTAGGGAAGAGGCTGAGTGGAACTTATTTCTCACCAGTAGAATATAAAATAGATAATGATAACTTGACTTTGTCTATGTGACCAGAGGACTCCTACCTGTAAATGTCTGGTGAATGTAGTTCGTTTTGTCTACACTATAATAAAAAAATATATAGAGATAGATATAGGTCGATTTTCCTACGCGAGTATCTAAATATCGACTCAGAAGATGGCCGTTTTGAGAAATTGTTTTGTTTTCTGATGCCATAATAATTGTTGGCGAGCAAAGGTGTTTTTTTTTCTTTGTAAATTGACAATCTGTTATGATTGTAAGGTAGAATATCTTTTGACATTGTTGTGGTCTTGTTATGACCAGAAATAAAGACACAATGATAGGAATTGAGTTAAACAAATATATTAACAGAAACAGTAATACAAACATATACAAACGAATGTGTTACAGCAAGAATGTTCGGTGCGACTGTAAAAGCTGACTGCTCGAAACTTTCCTGTCTAAAAGGCAGTACCTGCTCCTATATATAGCTGGGAGAGTCCATGCGTGCGTGGGTAAATTAACATAACAGTTATCTTTAAATGCTTGTTTTTGGGGGGTTTTTTAAATGCTGCTATTATTTTGATTTATGAGAATAAAAATTACAATAGTCACAAATGAGTCAGAAGTGACTTTTGACTATACACTGCGTGCCAAATTATTATCGAGATAACTTTTGTCTAATATTTCAAAAACCCTCCAATCAATTCACACAAAATTTTCACACAATGTTGGCAACACAGACCTGCGCAATTACTGAAATTTTCGTACTGATCTGCGCAAGGTAAACAATGGTGAGTTCTATGAGAATAAAATATCCGTAGAAAATTGCCCTATCACGATTTTAAATATTTGAGTTTAACAACTTTAGCAAAATATTGCAATAACAATCATAAATATGAATGATGGCCGTTATTTTAAGAAGTAAGGGGGTACAAATGAAAAGATTTTAAATTGAAATTTTTTATTTTCACTGAAACAGATATTAACACTTCTTTCTTTCTTTTTGTTATTCATTTTTCCACTGAAACTAAACAGCGTGTGTTTGTCTTTCTACGCAAACAAAACGGAATAGTCTATTGTTTATTAGGTATTGGCAGACGACTTTAACCACTTCTATCTGCCCTTCTTTCTGTCTTTCTTTCTTACCAAATCCCCGGTGTCTAAAAAGATCGATTTTATCACGGTCGCCATCACTTCTCAGCCAATGGTTTGAAATCAAAGTGTAGTATTTATTCTTATCAGCTTCATCTGATTATGATTCTTCGTTTCTACCTTTCTTTCTTCCTTCTTTCATTTTCTCATTGAAACCAGGTAACGTCATTTCCCCTCTCTATCTATATTAATGTTTTTTTTATTAAAGCCCGATTATTACGTACTGGTAGCTTGCCTTTTTACATACAGTAATGTCTTTATAGCTCAAGTGTTTTTTAATGTTTTGTGATTCACTGATAGATTTCTTAAAATATTAAATATTTCTTAAATACACTAAAAACTAAAAGAGGGCTGTGTCTAATATGTCTGCGAGTCTCTTATGTCTGCAAATACGCTACGAATAAATATTAAGTGAGTTCACATTGCGAAAATCAAAATTCACTAAGGATGGAGGTAGTCTTCTGTAAGTTTCT